CAGGCTTCTGCGAGGTGCTGGGCCCAGCACGGACTTGGGGCTGTGCTCTTCCTCCTCTTCCACCGTCATGGCCTGCGGCTCTCGGCTGTTTTTTTTGGGCTTTGGGGTTCCTGGTTTCAGGGCTCTGCAAGGCACCATGAAAGCGAGCCCTAGTATAAGAGCTCTATAAGGTTATAAAGCGACCGTAAATGATTATGATGTTATTCTACGACTCTTTAAGACTACCATAAATGATTAAGGGCCAAATAAGGGTGCTGTAAGAGTCCAGAGTTTTGGGCCCAGGGAATCTCTTACTGGCACGACTGGAATCTGCAAATCCGAAAAGTGCCAACGGCCTGCGTCTTGAGCAGAATCCAAGTCTCCAAAGTATATAAGACAAGACAGCATGAGACAAAAACATATTGACACGTTGTGCCTGAACCCTAAACCCTAAACCCTGCAACCTACCGGACCTCTCTAGGTTTTCTGATTATAAAGCTCCTTACGTATGTAGATCCTTGAAAAAGTAGGCTTCTTTGGCCAACACTCCACATCAGAGCACTCTGGCTGGCCTGAGAAGCAGCAAGTGCATGCAACGGAACGTGGTGAGACACTTGACCCGCTGGTTTACGATGCTGTCCTCGAGTGCTCTGTATATACTGCCCTAAAACCTAAACCCCAAACCATCATTTTGTAACATCCGAAACCCAAACTTCTGAACCAGACATCCCAAGACACACGAAGTGGCTGCTGTAAGTTTGTCTGCCGACAGGCTTTCGGATCTTCACCGCCACTTGCATTAACATCAAACGCGACCCTGGCCATATCTTTCGTGCTGGAATGCGTTTCATACGCTTAGTACAGAGATGAATGATCGCGGTTTCTGTCATCTCCAGGACATGGGGCAGAGGCTGCTGTGAACCGTGATTGAGCCCACATCACCGACGAGTCTGTTTGTAGGGAGCGGCAAGGATACGGAGGTCTCATGTTGGCCCTGCGATCATGCTGATGCTTCGCTGAATCCCCCAAGCCATCATGACCAGCTGCGCTCAAACCCTGCATCCCCTTGCAACTACTTGCAATATCCCGAAGAACAACTGCCGGAGACCCTCATCTGCCTCCAAGCCCAATGCTTCAACACCGGTTAGATGCAAATATAACAGCATGTGCAAACATACGCACACACACTCTCTCTCTCCCTCTCCCTCTTTCTTTCGCCAGGGCTAGGGGTAAGGGAGGACAAGCCCTCTCCCTCTCTCGCTCTCTCTCTCTTTCTCTCTCGCTCTCTGCATGACTTGCTGACGTTGGGGAACACGGTCATGGGATGTACGGAGCAGGGAGTTGCTGGATGTGAGAGCCGCTCAGCTGAATAGGTGCAAGCGGCCGACCCGCAATGCTTCGCGAAACAGGTACGGAGTGTTGGTCCAGATCTATGCTGTGTCTTGTACTCATCGCTCCCAAAACACCAACTCGAAACCCTAGACTTTCTGGTTCAGGCTTCAGAGCTGCATCATTATCACCCTATAGGCATCATCGACCAAAGAGTTGGATCCATATCCATTATACAGGCCATAGAAGCAACCCATCACGGGCAGTACAGGGAGGGGGCAGACGGCGGCAACTGCAAGAGGTCGTCCACCAGGTTGGCGACCCGGCTCTTGCTGTTCCGAAGGACAACCTGCAATGAAGCCATGCGGGCCCCAAATCAGCCTCATCCATATGTATGTATGTATGTATGTATGCATGCATGCATGCATGCATGCATGCATGCATGCATGCAAGTATGTATGTGTGTATGTATGTATGTACGTATGTATGCATGTACGTATGTATGTGTGTACGTACGTATGCATGTATGCATGTATGTATGCATGCATGTACGTACGTATGTATGTATGTATGTATGTATGTATGTATGTACGTCTGTATGTATGTATGTATGTATGTATGTATGTATGTACGAACGCACGTACGTACGTACGTACGTACGTACGTATGTATGTATGTATGTATGTATGTATGCATGTATGTATGCATGCATGTATGTGTATACAAATACACATATGTCGCACATGTATGTATATACACACAAAAATATTTGTTCATTCATTCATTCATTCATTCATTCATTCATTCATTCATTCATTCATTGGTTCATTCATACATGCTTGCATACATACACACATACCTGGCTGGGTTGTCAATGCTGCTCATGTCGTGCAACAGTCGATGCCATGGGGAGCTCCTGCCTACAACTGAGGGTACCTGAGTTGCGTCTGTGCAATAGCGATCCTACTAAAGGCCCCAAAAGCCACGTGCGAGGTCCGGAATAACTTAACAGAAGCTTCGCGCACTCGACGCAACGAGAAGACCCCGGTGACAAGAAACACAGTACGGAAGAACCTGTGAGCCTGCGTTGAACCTGACAGGGCCTTACAGGCACCCGATATTATAAACCCCAAGCAGTGCCCAACAGCGACAGCCACAACTCCGAGAGACCGGAACCTTCAAGCCTGAACTCCTGCTCTAAGCCAGTCGGAACCCATCCAGACCGAGGGCTGAGAAGAACCCAGCGGCCTTCATACTTACACGAGGCTTTACCCTTATGATATATTCGGTTTAAGGCTACATATAAACTAAGGATCGCTTATGTCATATATTCCACTGGGTTTAGGGTTTAGGGTTTAGGGCTACATATAAACTAAGGACCGCTATGTTATAATATACTACGTATAAATTAAAGGATCCCTAAGGAAAAATACTAATGTATTGGTACTTCGCTCTTCAGACCGGCATAGTATTGGACATCCGAGTCCCCTGCAGACAGGCTCGTGGTGTCTCCGGTCTTGAGGTTGAAAGCCTGTAGCGAAGGCTTTTAGGGCACTCGACCTTCAAGTTGTCGTTCGGTACTAAATGCAATGAACATGTTCGTTCTAGGGTTCAGGTTGAGGGGATCATATTCAATATGATACCATCATGGCAACTATTCTCACTGTCATTGCCATCTCAACACTAACGTCATCACCATCTGCATCGTCGTTGTCATCGCCATCAACGGTATCACGATCGCAACGTGTTGAAACCGTCATCATGGCCGCCACCTTCATCCCCATCTTGGTCACCAAGGTCAGAAGCATCATTATTCACTTCGGTCAGCAGCCTTACCATCACGAGCATCATCGTGACGACCATCAATCTCACACGGACCTACATGGCAACTATCACAAAATCATGAATACAATCATAGTTCTCATGAGTATCACCGCCACCAACATTGTCTATTGAGGAAGCCCGAAAGGAGCCCTTAAACGCATCCATAAGCGAAAGCAACAGCAAGCTTGCACCTTCCAGCGGAACGCCCTGTTGAATAACACCCTAAATCCTAAACCTAAAACCCTAAACCTAAATAGCACCCACACCCTAAACCCGAAGCCCCGTGAAACCATATTGAACCAGTCACTAAAACCGATACCAAAAGCCCCTAAAGAGAAAACCCGAAAAACCGAATCCTAAAGCTCTTTTGAACAATCCGTTGAATCGTAAACCTAAAACGTTAAACCCTTCAGCCTTGTTTCTAAAACCCGTAATCCAAAACCTAAGGTCCTGAACCTTAAACCCGAACCTTGGCCCCGAAAAGAAACGCTATAAACCCTAAACTCGAAACCCCTAAACCCTAAACCCCTAAACCCTAAAGCTCTAAGCCCCTAAACCCCGAAACCCCTAAACCCTAAACCCTAAACCCCTACACCGGAGGCCTCAGCCCTGAAGGCGAGACCCCCTCCTCCAGCGGTTGGAGTGATGCCATGCAGGCTTCGAGCGGCTTCATACTCCTGACCATGGCCATGCTACAAGGTGAGCTTGAGGACAAAGGCCCGGGTCGGAACAAAATCATAGACCGCCCGCGAGACTTACCAGCCTGCAGCCTGTGGAGCTGGACCGGGTCGGCCTGTGTGGTCTGTGTGGTCAAATCAATAAGCAACTCCAGATTCTGCGGGAAAAAGGAAGCCACCATGTCACCCGGCGGCGAGGTTCCGTCATGGATACCTGTGAACACGACAGGGTAAGGTAGCGCAGGTCGGTTGGAAATTTCCTGCCCTGCGAGCCTGAGCTCAAGTGGCTCCGAAGAAGACGACATAGACTCATCCACCGCCGGGTCTGCAGGCGTCCTCACGTACTCCACCTGCAGCCCTGGAGGTGAATTGCTGGTAGTCGCTCGTGGTAAAACCTTCGGGCCAGTAAGTAGAAGCTTGGGAACAGCCTCTGGATGGCCTAAAGCCCCCCTAAACCCTAAACCCTAAACCCTAAACCTTTAAACCCCTAAAGCTAAACCCCTGGGCCCCTCCTCTGCTTGCTGCAGTCGCTCCAGGAGCTCCTTCGCGGCCACGCGGAGCCTCCTCTGCGCAGCCGGGTGGGTCGTTCTCTAAAGTTAGGGTTTAGGGTTTAGGGTTTAGGGTTTAAGGGTTTAAGGGTTTTAAGGTTTAGGGGTTTAGGGGTTCAGGGTTTAGGGTTTAGGAGTTTAGGATTTAGGGGTTTAGAGGTTTAGCGTTCAAGGTTTAGGGTTTATAAGGGTTTCTATAGGGTTTACAAAGGGATCTTTAAGGGTTTCTATAAGGGATCTATATGGGTAGTTCTAAGCGATTGCTTTAATGGGTTCCTTTAGGGGTTCGTTTAGCGGTTCCTATAAGGGATCTATAGGAATCTGTAGGGATCTATGGGGTTCGAGGGCAGGTCTCTAAATCAGGGGGCCCTTTACCCTGAACCCCTTTGAACCCGAAACCCCCAAACCTGATGGAGTTCCTGGAGCCAAGCACTTGGAATGCATTTTCAGCGCAACGATCCGAGCTCCGCTTTCGTGGTCGCATTGTTGCTTGTGAACGTGCTGTCGCTCGGGTTGGGATTGAGCGTCTCTATACGTACTTCACACCTTATGAAGATCCTCTTGATTAGCCACCAACTAGTAAACTTGTTTCAACTGCTTCAATCCCATGCAGGGCCAGGAGAGACTGGTCATGGCTCGTGTGTTACTTGCCCATCACTTCATCCCTCATCTTCGCCGCGCTCTTCTCCTTCTCCTCGGTGCCGGCGACGGTAGCTTCAATTTAACACGAGATGCACCCAACAAAAGATCGTCCAACAGAGACCTTACTCCACAGCCCTGTATAGATTTTTGGAGGGTGCTTCTGGCTGGCTGGATGCAAGAGCTCTTCTGTGCAAAGGGCATGTAGCTTTCCGCTATACAACACCTTTGCTTGTCACGAGACTTAGACCAGCTCCATGTGCATAACAAGACCCGTTTTGAAAACGAATACGCACGAACATCAGGCATCTTCTGTATCCGGATAGAAGACCAAAAAGCAGTATTGAGAGTTCTTTCCAGGCATTACTCCCTCTCGAACGAGGCGAACGAACGACGGCATCGCAGGCTCCAACAGATTGGTAGAATTGAACTTGAATAGCGGAACAGAGCAAGCATGCAACTCCAAAACCGAAGAAGTGCTCGAGCCGGTGTAAAGCCGTGAACCACAAGACCCACAGCACAAACAACAAAACAGAGATAACCCAAGCTGCCGCTTGAAGTTCGGCTTGGTGTCGCGCTTTCGACTCCTGAGCCGCAAAGGCTCATCGTCAGTTGGCGAAGTCAACACAGATCATGGAACCCCATCGATGATACCGCAAGACCGGGACAAAAGTAAGCTTGCTTGGTACATGATACACCGGCTTCGAGGTACTCCCAAAATGACAGGCATCATTCACCGTTACAAGGCTCCATACCATGAAGCCTAAATCTCACAATCCTACCGGTTGGAGGTCGTGCTGTCAAGTCTGATGAACCCGAAACTTTGCCTTACCACTACCCACTACCATGTCGTAGGTTCTGATTCTACACCCTGAAACCCTAAACCCCTAAACCCTAAACCCTAAACCCTAAACTTTATGGGGGGCCCATCCAAAAACCACGGGTCTGCTGGTAGTTCAAGAGAAGCCCTATAGCCGAGCTGTCGTCTCCATTAGAGCTCCTTGTTGCCTTTAGGGCTTATAAGGCTTCAGGTTCTAGGGTTCAGGGTCTTCGGGTTTACGGCGTTCATCAATTTCATGGTGAGGATGAATTATTCAGTTATTAATCAATTTTATGGTGAGGGTCCTATAATAGAAAACGGCTAGGCCCAAAAAATGGGGACTACCATGGAGACGCTAAACCCTAAACCCTAAACCCTAAACCCTAAGGTCTCATTGAGGCCTTCGCCTTCAGAGGGCGGCCGGGGCCCATCACGGGCACCACGGGGTTTTTAGGTTTCAGGGTTTCAGGGTTTCAGGTTTCAGGGTTTTAGGTTTCAGGGTTTCAGGGTTTCAGGTTTCAGGGTTTTAGGTTTCAGGGTTTAGGGGGGTGGGGTTTGAGGTCTGGGCTTTAGGGTTTAGGGTTTAGGGGTGTGGGGTTTGAGATCTGGGCTTTGGGGTTTAGGGTTTAGGGGTGTGGGGCTTAAGGTCTGGGCTTTAGGGCTTAGGTTTCAGGGTCTAGGGTTTGGGATTTAGTTTGGGTCCCCGGAGTCCGTAGCCCTGCAAACCTTAAGCTCCCGAAGCCCTAGAAGCCTTAAACTCTAAACCTGCATGTGCTTCAAGGCAGGCGCAGAGGCCCCAGTACCAAACTAGTAGCTACTGATTAGTAGATATCTTGTGCCCCTTAAAAAGGTATACTCTATTGCTTGGACCCTTATGAGCCCTACACCCCAAACCCTTTGGTTTAAAAGGGCTTAGGGTTTCAGGCTTACCAGTTTTCTCGAGTTTAGGCAGACCTGCAGCCTGCAAGCGATCTAGGGCGGGTTTCGTGTTTGGGGTTCACGGGGGTTTAGGGTTTGGGGTTCACTGGGGCTTGGGGTTTCGGGTTTCGAGCTTGGGGTTTAGGGTTTCGGGTTTAGGGTTCGCGGGGGTTTAGGGTTTAGGGTTTCATGACGGCAGCCAATGGCCATGTGTTTTTCAAGCTTTATACACGAACCACATGCACAACCCAAAACAGCAAAGCTCAACATGTCTTGAAGTCTCGATCTTGGCCCCCCAAAAACCCACAGAATAGCCAGCTCTTGTTAAGGAACTTAATTTAATCTAAGTCATCATACCAGGGATCTATTGCAACGACCTGGGGATCCTTACAAATGGCAACTTAAACCAAGAACCGAGAGTGGCAGGAGCCGAACAAGCTCCCTCGCAAGGCTTTCCTCAGTTTAGGGTTTAGGGGTTTAGGCTTATTTCCTCGAACTATAGCTCCTGAAGCCTTCATCCTCAACAGCCCTCGACCCCAAAACTGTCAACACGTCAACCCTGCAACCCTTGGTAAACCTGAACCTCGAAACCCGAAATCCTAGCACCTCAATCTCCACAAAAGCTGCCCTGAAGCCACCAGATCTGCTGCACCCGAAAACCCTACTAAACCCTAAAACCCGAAACCCGAAATCCTAAACCCTAAACCCCTAAACCCTAAACAGCCCTAAACCCTGAACTGAACCCGAAACCCCTAAACCCTGAAACCCGAAAAAGCCTATCTGCCGGGGCCCTGACCAGCTTCATCCTCATTCCCTGCAGGCCGAGGCTCTCGCAAATGTCGATGGCCTTGGACTTGGACGCCGGGAGCTTCTAGGTTTTTCACGGCTCATTCTTTTAGGGTTCAGGGTTTGAGGGTTTCGGGCTTTAGGGTTTCGGGTTTAGGGTTTTCGGTGCCCTTTTACTCGGTGTAGGGCTTCGAGTTCGAAGAGCTTCGGCTCTAGGGCTTGTCGGTTGAGGGAGTTCAAGCGGAGAGGATACTTCGGGCCTCGCAGGGCTTACATCGAGCTCACATCTGGGAAGGCTTAGCGCACAAAGGCTTGGGAGGTGGCGGTTTAGGGTTTAGGGTTTAGGGCTTCGGGTTTAGGGCTTTGGGTTTAGGGCTTTTTGGGTTTAGGGGTTTGGGTTTAGGGTTTAGGGTTTAGGCGGTTTAGGAGGAGGTAGCTACATGATTTTCTTGGGAAGGCAAGACAGGTATAGCCACAAGTGAATACATGCAGGCACACATCCATGCGTGTCTGCATGCGCACATGACAGGCATAACGTACCAAACCGAACAGAGCAACACATGACAAAACATAACATAACATAACATAACATAACATAACATAACATAACATAACATAACATAACATAACATAACATAACACAACATAACATAGCATAACATAACATAACATGTCATATACACAACATGATATACCAATGCAAAACAAAGCATAACCTAACATGAGTATAACATAACACATCACATCATAACGTAGTGTAACATACCATAACAGAACATAGCAACACATAACACACACAAAACAAAACGTAGCATGACATACTATAACATGACCGCACTGTAACATGCCACAACTTAACATAACACAATCCAAAATAACATTGGATAACACGACATTATGCAACATCACATGTCCCAACCTAGACGCAACATAGCATGTCGTTGCATCTCCATTGCGTTGCATTGCACGGGAAGGCATAAACTACAGTTCATTACACTGCTTGTCATTAACAAGTACAGTTCATTGCATATACTAACAACAATCACACCACATCACATCACGCTGCATTGCATTGGCCCACGCAGCATTGCATTGCGCTGCGCTGCACTACAGCATTCCATTCCATTCCTTTCCGAGACAAACTTACAATACATTGCATTGCATGATACTACATTGCATTACGCATTACACCATACACACTGACAAATACGTGTAGCATGCATAAAAAATCTTGCCATAACAACCTGTCGATGTAGCTACGCTAAGTATTACCACACATCACATTCAGCCACATACATGTGCATCGGTACAGTCATTGATAGATCCGTACATCGATAAGCAGGCACAGTCACAGCTCGTTGAGTTACACCCATGCCATAGATCCACCGATCCATCCTTGAACATACATTCTCGTTGTCACACACACACACACGCACGCATTGACCATCGGCATACATACATGCACAAAACCATCCATGCATGCGTGCATGCATGCGTGCTTGCATGCTGTCTATCCATACAAGACCACCAGACTCACTTGAACCCGGAACGCTGACTGACACAACCAGGGGACGTCCTCTCCCGCCAGGTTGCGCAGAAGCACCTGCGAAGAGAGTGCGGGAGTATATCTCTGGAAAGCAGGGGCCCTCAACATTCATAAGTTTGAAGATCCGACATACTGTGCAGTTTGATTCTGGTTCGGACTTCATCCATTCGGATTTCCAGACCCACCCGCGCTGCTGGCTGTTTGTGTTACTTCCTGCCTCGTCACAGTTCGGATGATGGCTCCCTAAACCTAAACCCTACTTGCGTGCATTGATTGCCTCGAGCTTGCCCATGCGGGTCAGGGCACGGCCGGCTAATGTAGGGGCCTTAATAATTAGAATAAGGTTTTGGGGCCCATTCTACTATGATGATAATAAGGAACACCCCAAAATAATGTAGGTAATTATGCAGGCCCCTATACTAAGCGGCATGGAGTGACGCCTCGAATCCTGAAGCAGCCACGACAACCCTGAAATCACGAATCTGATGTCTCCAGAGCGCTCCCATGAAGCCTTGACAGCCTAAACCCTACACCCCTAAGCCCGAAAGCCCCAAGCCCTAAGCCCTAAACCCCTAAACCCTAATAAACCCTAATCCCTATAAGCCCTAAACCCTACTAATCCGAAACGGTCAAGCCCTAAACCCTACTAATTAATCCGAAAGGCTCAAGCCCTAAACCCTACCCAGCCGAACACTTGTTCGGCCCCTTCCCTGAGATGTTCTAAGCTTTGGTCGCCCGAAGCCACCCCTCCCCAAACCCGAGTCCAGACCCGTGCACCAGCAGGATTCCAGATGTGCAAAGCACTGGGAGAAGGGTATTGCAATTATATGTAATATACCCCCCAACCCTATTCTAATTGTTGCGGCCCCTATACTAAATAAATACCTATACTATTCTGGGAGTTCCTTATTATGTTTAGGGTTTAGGGCATCTCGAGACTTTTGATGGGCCCGAAGCCCCGAATTACACCGTATGAGTCCTACTGCAATAAACAGTCCCAGGCACGTCCGTGTGTGGATCATCGAGGATCCATTGCGCGAATTCCAGCTGGGCCGAGGCAGCAGGATTCTTTGTACATCTGTGTACGTTAACCAGTAGTGTGTGTCCACATACACATCTCTGAAACGAACACCGTTGCCGATGCTTATGGCGATAGCTGGTACAGGAACAACACCATCACATCACGGTCGGCAACCATGCTCACTAGCGCCAGCCATCCCCGCCCGAGCGACCCTGAAGACTATTCCAGTCTCACCAGAGGACTCGATTCAAGTTAAGCCAATAGCAACAATGCTAAATCACTAACTGTCACTGCGTCGAAGTCACAGTTGATAGAGTCATCATGGAACGAAGTAGAAATAACCACGACTCTCCATGATGACCTATAGCCCTAGACCCCAAACCCTAAACTCCTAAGGTCCTAAACATCTATCTCTTCATGTGCACTAATTGGTGAGTTTGCCCGTTTCTCTGGGCCCCAAGGCTCCTTTGCCTAGAAGTTCTGAGAGCTAGCGGCTTCGGGGATCGAGGTACATACATACATCCACCAATGCATGCATGCATACATACACATACTGCGACACCTGCACGCATGAGGTATGTGCCTGTGTGACTGTGAGGGCGGAAGGGCTTAGATCGTGCCGAGCGCCTGGTCGTCTCGGAGAGCAAGCATCATTGCAGTGTCTCCGGAATCGTTCTGCGCATTTACGCCTGAAGCATTGGGACGCTGAGTCTAAGCACTCCGTGTGCAACACACCAGAGCATCCTGAGTCATGTGTATACCAGACTGATTATATGGAACGTAGAATCAGAGCGCGACTCCAAATTTGGGTGACACTTTCCCAACTCATACTAGCAGTTCTTATTGATTCCTGTTGTAGAAACCCTACATTCTACTATATAGGTACTTCGGACCCTTTGGGGGATGCCCTCTAAACAAGTGCGTGCCAACGAAGTCTCGAGACGGAAGCGACGTAGACGACAACCCGGAGCAGCAGCAAGACAAGTCATCGAGGTACACGAACGCAGTAGACTCAGTAGACTCTAACTCGAACTGAAAACTCGGAGTTCCTTTTTGGCTCTCGGTGTAGTTGTAGTCGACCCCATGTTGTGTTCCGTATAACTCTAGGGCCAAAAAGAGACTTTCTCGCACAGTATGCTAACCTCCCAAGGCAGCCTTCTAATCGTGCATTTCCCAACCCAGTTGAAAATCCGAGAGCCCCCGAAAGCAATACCTTGAGACGAAGTTCTTCAGCTCTGGCAGCTTCAGTCAGTCGAAATTCTGCGGGCTTCAAAAGCAATCAATTTATGTTGCGGGGCTGGGTCCTGTTACATTTTCTTTGCCTGCAGTCTTGGATGCTTTCCTGAGATAGGACAGGCTTGCATGAATAAGTAGTGTTGCATCATAGCAAAAGTGTGTGGACACCTTTTTGGGGACATAAGCTATATACGCCTCTGTTAGGGTCCGAGGAATTGTGCCGCCAGGAGGCTGCAGCTGCGCCGAACGAGCTGCGAGGCTATCTGGACAGAGCATCTTGGATTTCGAATTTGGAGTTCAAAGTACGGATCTACTAGATTGCTGCCTGGCGATATTGCAAGGAACTTGAAGCCGTGCTGGATTGGAGAAGGGTGAAATCTGCTGTTGGCTGGGGCTGTGAAGATGTTCAGAAATTCGTCTCAGTCCGCCCTGGCCTTCGTGTGGTTTTTGGCGCCGATGATCGTCATCAGAGCAGACATGTTCCCGTTGGCTGTATCCTCGCAAGTGACAGCTCCTGTTTACTATCAACTCTGCTCTCCTAAAACACTACGTATATTTAGTAACAATTAGTATACGGTCTCCGTTGTATAATTAATCCCTTCTGTCCCCAGCCACACACACACACACTACGGCATAAAACGATTCTTGCGTTAGAGAATGGGTTTGTGGCCGCGCGGCTCGGAAAAACAAAACTCCCGAGACGTGATCTCTCGCTCTGGCCCAACGAATGGGAATAGTTTGTGCCCCCCACGTTCTGTTATTTGCACGGGATCTACTGAACATCGTGTCCGGCAGAGCCAGATTAGTTGCAAGTTCCATGCACGAGGCACCTTTTGCCTCCCATAATTCTGAATCCCGCCAGTACCTGGGGAAAAGCATGTTGGCCGTCCTCCCGTAAATCGGGGAAAGCACAAGCACCGTGGTCTTGAATACCGTCAACACTTCGGGAAGCATGGGCTCCTGATTCTGCCAGCACCGGTTTGGCACGCTCCCGGATTACGCCAGTACTTGGGGGTGTGCTGGTGGTCTGGCGGTCCTGGTGGCTCGTGGTGGTCTCCTCATGGTGTCCGGGTGGTGGTGGTGGTGCTGCTGGTGCTGGTGCTGGTGCTGGTGCTGGTGCTGGTGGTGCTGCTGGTGCTGGTGCTGGTGCTGGTGCTGGTGCTGGTGCTGGTGCTGGTGGCGTTAGCGGTGGCGGTGGCGGTGGTG